GGGTTCAAAACCTGCTGAAGATGTCATTGTCGAGTGATCACCAGAGTCAAAATCTGTTTCTCTTGGACCATGCAGGTTTGAAACCTGCCAGTTGCGATATTTGTTTTATATGAAATCACACCTTGAAATATGCTGATGGTCGGTCTTCTTGCAAGCTGATCAAAGTTGTGTTTGGCCGAGTGGTTGTCATAACAGAATCAAAATCTGTTTATATTGGAATGCAACAGGTTTGAAACCCGTTGAATTTCACATTTTTTCTATGAGAACATGTCTTGAATGTTTGCTCATAGACAGTATCTCAGACATTGATCTTCATTGGTCTTAGTCAGGTTGTCACCAGAGTTAAAATCTGTGTCTCTTGGACTTTGCAGATCTGAAACCTGCTAACGATTATGTTTTTATTCTGTGCAATTACACTCTGATATTTTCTCATGGATAGTTTTCTCCAAAACCCATCATAAATACTCTTTTCCACATCATTGCCACGATGGATTCAGAATATGTTTCAATCAAAGCATACAGGTTTGCAATCAGTCAAATGATGCATTTCTTTTTCATGTTACAACATGCTCAATTGAATATTTGCTCATGGTCAGTTTCTCGGACTTTGATCGATGTGTATTGAAAGAACTGACAAAATGCAAATAAATGTGCTATGAGAATTCACTTTTGAATGAGTTCATTGGAAGTACATTCAACTAGTCTTAGCTCAGCAGTTAATGTAACAGAATCTAAATCTGTCTGTGCGGGTTCAAAACCTGCTAAAGATGAAATTGCAAGTGATCAACAGACTCAAAATCATGTTTTTCTTGAACCATGACAGGTTTGAAACCTGTCAATGATAAATTTTATTTTCTATAAAAAATATGCCTTGACATTTCCTCATGGAGTTTGATGTGCATCAGCTCACATTGGCTTTTCTTTGGCTCAGTGACATGTCCTTCCTCCATCCTATCTGTGTCCTCCGCTTGTCCATTGGTGCATATTTTACTTGATTCATATTAGACTGACCATATTTCTGAAGTATATTTTCATTACTTGTGTTATGAACCCTTGTTACATATCACTGCTACCTACTCGGCTCCAAATAGTGCTTCGGCGCGCTCTCATATATACTAAGTACTTATGATTTTCATGCAACATCTATCTCTCCCATCAAATTATCATCTGTTTGCATGCAATAACACTAGGACTAAAAATCTAAACCTTCAGCATACCTCTGCGCGCATGTCTCTAAATGGCTGTGCTAATGTTTGCATTGCATACACCCACTTTTTATCATCAAACATCCCTTTCTGTTTATTGTTGTGCCACCTCGTTTTTGCGCTCGTGGCTTTTTGCAATAACCTTTCAGCTCGACCACATGCTTTTGCACTTTGTCAAATCTTCAGCTGCATGGCTGCGCATCATATCGCGCTTTTGGTGACTCACTTGTTCTCGCATCGCACCAGCGCTAACTTTCGTGTTCCCTCTACTCTCAGTTACCCTTACCAGTTTCTAGGTTTCCCCTCATATTTTACATTAGAGGAATCATTCTCAGCAGCAATCCCCTTGGGCCGAATCTATACTCGCATCCAGAGGTCTATTTGTGTTTTTACCCCACTTCACCCTTTCTTCTCCTTTCACCCCTTCTCAACTAGCTATCATTCCTCGCACACACCGTCTATGAGCAAATATTTGAGGCATGTTCTTATAGAAAAAAATGTGATGTTTCACAGGTTTCAAACCTGTTGCGCTCCAATAGAAACAGATTTGGATTCTGTTATGTACAACAATCACTTGGTTAAATAAAGCTCTGATCAGCTTGCAAGCTGACCGACCAGAAGCATATGTCAAGGTGTGCCTTCATAGAATAAGAATAAAAAGGTCATCATTAGCAGGTTTCAAGCCTGCACTGTTCAAGAGAAACAGATTTTGACTCTGGTGATCACTTGAGATTTTCATCTTTAGCAGGTTTTGAACCCACACGGACAGATTTAGATTCTGTCACATCAACTGCTTGGCTAAGACCAGTTAGATTCACTTCCAATGAACCCATTCAGAAGTGAGTACTCAAGGTACATTTATCTGCATCTTTTTCAGCTCTTTCAATAGCATAGTCAGTGTTGATTTTTTATCCTACTCTTATTGAAAAAGACACAGACTTCCTGCTGGGGCTCTTGACTTCAAGACCTGTTTATCTAATAATTTCCCTGAAAAAGTGCTGATGGAAGACCACCACAGTGGGTCCATGAGTGGAAACTGACAATGAAAGGATCACACAGTGTATTTTTGACACAGAGTTCAATATATGACCAAAGTCTTGATGCAAACTCGGAAGGATAAGTACAATAACAATATAATTCTTTCTAAAGGTCTTGACTTGGTTGAAGAAGAAAAAGAGCAGACAGATTACACATCAAACTTTCAAGTTTGATCCTAATAACCTGGGGAATTAGTAAAAATACAAATCTATTAAGGCTGAGATTCTTTATTGTGCTTATTCAAGTGATTGCCAGAGTCAAAATATATTTCTCTTGAACTAAGCAGGTTTGTAATCTGTATAATGATGTGTATTTTGCATTAACTCATGATTCATCGCATTCCACCATTTTGGATTTCATAGAATAAAAACATTGTGATTGGCAGGTTTCAAACCTGCACAGTTAAAGACCAACAGATTTTAAATCTGGTGACAACTTGACCAAGACCAATGAAGATCAATCTCTGAGATGCTGTCTATGAGCAAATATTCAAGACACACATTTCTAGAGAAAAAATGTGACATTCGACAAGTTTCAAACTTGTTGCACTCTGATGGAAACAGATTTTGATTCTGTTATGACAGCCACTTAGCTAAACACAACTGTGATCAGCTTGCAAGCAAACCGACTATGAGCAGATTTCAGGGTGTGTTTTCATAAAATAAAAATGTTATCATTGGCAGGTTTCAAACCTGCACAGTCCAAGAGGAACAGATTTTGACTCTGATGTTCACTTGCAATTTCATCTTTAGCAGGTTTTGAACCCACACAGACAGATTTAGATTCTGTTGTATCAACTTCTTGGCTAAGACCAGTTAGATGTGCTCCCAATGAACCCATTCAGAAGCGACTCACATACTTTTGCCTATTGGCTGCACTTCTGACTTGCTTCCACATGCTGAGAACACAATTAAAATTACTTACATAGCACCATGTATCTTTTGACTCTGAACAATCTTTCCATCACCATCTTGCATATTGTGGGACTCAAAGTCTAAAATACGCTATAACTGCTATTTGACACTGAGCGCTCAAAAGCACCTAAGCGCAGAATGTCGCACTGTTGTCTAAATACTTCTGCTTTATCTCAGAACTTCCTCAGGTCATTAGAATCAAACTGGAAAGTTTGATGTCTAATCTGCTCTTTTTCTTCAATCAAGTCGAGATCTTTGGAGAGAATTAAATTGTTCTTGTACTTGTCATTCCGAGTTTGCATCAAGACTTTGGTCATACATTGAACTTTTGTGCCTTGAGGGTTCACTTCTGAATGAGTTCATTGGAAGTGCATCTCACTGGTCTTAGCCAAGCAGTCAATACAACAGAATCTAAATCTGTCTGTGTGTTACAGTAACATGGCACGAGTCCCCTGCCAGCAGACCAGCCCTCTGCCACCGCACGGCTATAGACGATACCGGAGCCTCACCAGCTCTGTGACGATAGACGATAGATGACGATAGATGACGACAGATGATGATAGACGATAAGTGGCAACTGCCGGCTTAGATAAGCGGTCTGGACCGCATATGACGACACATGACGACATAGGTCTAGAAGACCTATTCATGTTATCAAGATAGAAGGCAAGCCTCGTGTTGCCTCATGGACTGATAGAAGATAGAAGGCAAGCCTTGCGCTGCCTCGAGGATGATAGAAGGCAAGCCTCGTGCTGCCTCGAGGATGATAGAAGGCAAGCCTCGTGCTGCCGCATGTACTGATAGAAGGGCACCGCATGGACCCTATCTACGATAGAAGCCCGCCTCATGGACGCTATCTCTGACTCATGTAGATAAGCAGATTAGAACCCAGCTTTAGGCTGAGCTTAGATACGAAGAGTAGCCTTATATAAGGTCGAAGATTACAAGCAGACGTTCCTTACTTTAATCTTACTAGGTTTACCCTTGAACTCCTTGTCCCACTAAAGCTACCTGCTCGACATCGACTTGTACCTTCAGTGACGCCTCTCACTGTCTGTAAACCCTGCTATCATCTCAGCGTAACCCCTCGTTAACCACCACGAGCTACGTTCAAGTACGCAACCTTTGCTTGTCTGTAAAGGCCAACGACTCTCAGCACTCGGTACCACTGTCGTGGTTGTCGCTGTTAGATTATCCTAGTCGCACACGACCGTTTGTCGTAACACTGTGTGGGTTCAAAACCTACCAAATAGTGATCGCCAGAGTCAAAATCTGTTTCTCTTGGACTGTGCAGCTTTAAAACCTGCCAAGGATAATTTTCATTTTCTATAAAAATGCGCCTTGATATGTTCTCATGGTTGGTTTGCTTAAAAGTTCATCAGAGTTGTGTTTGGCCAAGTGGTTTTCATAACAGAATCAAAATCTGTTTCCACTGGAATGTAACAGGTTTGAAACCTGTTGAATGTCGCATTTTTTTCTATTAGAACATGCCTTTAATATTTGCTCATAGACAGCAACCCAGACATTGATCTTCATTGGTCTTAGTCAAGTTGTCATCTGAGTCAAAATCTGCCAATGATGACATTTTTATTTCATGAAATCACACCTTGACATTTTCTCATGGATGATATATGTTATTTTTTTATTTTTTATTTTTTTCCTGTTAGAACATGCCTCGACATGGACTCGTGTGCACTTTCCTGAGAGCACCATCTCACTGGTGGTGTGATTTCATAAAATAAAAATGTTATCATTGGCAGGTTTCAAACCTGCACAGTCCAAGAGAAACAGATTTTGACTCTGATGTTCACTTGCAATTTCATCTTTAGCAGGTTTTGAACCCATGCAGACAGATTTAGATTCTGTTGTATCAACTGCTTGGCTAAGACCACTTAGATGCACTCCCAATGAGCCCATTCAGAACCAAATCCTCAAGGTACATTTATCTGCATTTTATCAGTTCTAACATTAATTTCTAACATCCCTCTTGAGTCCAATCACATGTGATCCTTCCATTGTCCGTCCTCACTCATGACCTAGCTGTTAATCCCAAGACATCACAAACATCATTGGCCGACCATGGTGGTCTGTCATCAGCACTTTTTCAGAGCAATTGCTAGATAAACAGGTCTTGAAGTCAAGAGCCCCAAAAGAATTCTGATGTCTTTTGCAATAAGTGTTACAGGGATCTGTAACACCTACTAGAGCCCCAGCTCTCCCTACACCTGCCCCCGCTCTGCTAGACTCCCCGCGCGGCGGTACGCCGCCTGCGCCTAGAAAGACAGCGGTCTGGACCGCTATGACACCGCCTCATGGCGTTATGACCCCGCCTGATGCTATGACCCCGCCCCTGGCCTAGACGGCCTTGTACCTGTTCCATGGAGGCTGTACGTCTCATGGACACCCTAGATCAGCGCATGTATACAGCATGTCGCTTCATGAAGACCCGGAGCGCTTGGCGCCTCCTGTACCTATGCGCAGCAGCCCTTGGCGCCGCATGTATGATCAGAGGTTAAAACCTCATGTATGCTATCTCTCCTCATGTCTAGTTATCTCAGATTACCGATATACTATAGATTACAGACTGAGCTAGAATACCTATAGCTAAACCCTATAAGAGTAGCTACATTGTCATAGATTATCTTTACTTTAATCTACTAGGTTCTACCAAGAACTTGCTCATATAAGCTTAACTGCTTCCTTGTGTGAGACCGCACTTCAGAGTCGTTCCCATACGCCTCTGCACGTATCCGCTAGCCCTGCATCTCGACGAGCGCCGTCTTACCGAGATCGCCGGAGGAACCTTTGACGTTCCGTCAGAGTCAGACCACGCTCAGCTTCAGTAGAGTCACTCGACTCGTCGCAGAGAAGACCTATCCTAGTTCCCACTACGCCGACCAACAGTCGACGTAACAAAAGATTAAAGTCTATCTGATCGTCGCCTATCTACGCGACGCACACCCAGATACGCACCTTGCCTCGACCAGCATTGTAGAGGACGACATGCCTTACGACAACCAAATAGCATCATCCTCACGGACGACTCCCGAAGAAAAGTGCCGTACACTCGTAGTGTCCCCAAAGAAGGCGCTGACGATGAAGACCGCCGTGATACGGCGAGAAAAGAATCAATCGAAGACCGCCTTGGCCAGGCGAGAAAAGAATGAAGCCCGACCCTCATCCACACGCACGAAGATCGCCGCGGCCTCCCATCTCAAAGGGAAAGAAATCCGCATCCGCCTTAACAGCAGGCGATGCTTCAACTGCAACGCGACCGGCCACAGAGCCAGTGACAATCTCTGCCGAGATAGGAGAAAGATTGTCGATGAAGACCCGATTAGGTCAATTAAGACCATCGGTAAGAAACGTGAATTTAGGGTTCCTGTAACCTTGATTTCAGAAAGAAGAGAAGCACCGATAACGACTTCTATGGTCGTTGACTCGGGTGCCTGCCGATCCTTCATTCATAAGGATTATTGCAAGAAGCACCGCATCTCATCACACCCGCTGAAGAAGCCAATCACGGTAACTAACGCGGACGGATCTACTACGGCCGGAGGGCCTATCTCCCGATATTGCACCCTCACGGTCAAAGTTGATGAACGGGTAACACCTGTTCGGTTTTACCTCGCTGAGTTATCATACTCAGATAAATTCCTGCTTGGGCAACCATGGCTAATCGCCAACAACCCTAGCATAGATTGGACGGCGTCCACCCTGACCCTCGCCGCCACCCCCGAATCCAGAGACATGGAACGGGATATAGATATAGAACGGAAGAAGAACGGCCTGAAGCCTCTCTTCCAGAAGAAAGATAAGCGAGTCGCTGACCGCTCTCAGACGAAGAAGAAACTCCGTAAAGAGTATAAACTAGCACCGGCACCGGCTGCCATGCCCTATGCCACGATTGTGGAAATCCCCGAAGAAGGACCCACACCCCAGACTGCCGCAACCTCTCAGCCGCAGCAGACCGCACCACAGCCCGAAGAAGCTGTGAGGAGCCAAGCCGCCAAGACTTCTACGTCTTTGGCGCCCCCATCAGTCCCGAAGAATCCCTTCCCGACTCTTAATGAAAAGAAGAGGCCTTCCGTCGCCTCTGAGCCGAAATTAACATTCTCGGCAGAACCCGCGTCTGTCCTTGGCAAAGGACGCGCTATCGCTACCGCAGAGCCACCCCCTGCCAAGCACCCTAGACTGGCCCCTGAACCAGAGAAAACTCAGACGAAGTTTATGTTTTCCGGAGAGCCAGTTTCTGTTCTCGGAAAAGGAAGAGCCACCTTCACGGCAGATCGACCGGCAGCCAAGAAACTCCGGTTCGATATCGAAGAACCCGTCCCTCTCTGTCACCAAGACATGCCTACGTCCGACAGTGAAGACACCGAACCGGGCCATGCTGTAAGCCCCGCGACACCCCCAGCAACCGACGTACAAATGTCGTCGGTTGATCCCAACCAGAACCGAGTTGAAAACTATTTTGACATGGTAATTCAGCGCTTGAATGCGCGTCCTCTGACACCCCCCCGCGCTTCCTGATCCAGCCTTATCGGCTGATGAGGACTCTAATGAGTCCGACTCCGATTCTGACGAAGAAGACTACCCCGGATCCTCATATATTCGGACGATCGGCGATTTCATTTTCGCCTCTCCTTCTGACGACCCTGACTGCGGAGAACTCGAATTGGACTTTTAATTTCGCTAATCGTGGTAGATTAACGTCCTTGTGACGGGGTAAATTCATCATTACTTTTACCTTTTCCACACCTTTTGCTATCTAATAGGTCTCTACCCCTTTCGATTCTCGCCGACACGTCCACTATGACGCTAAACTAGACCTGAGTCCAGCACGACTATAAAACTGCGCGATTGTCCGGAAAGACATTAAACTAAGATTGTCTGAAAAACGACATTAAACTACTTTCCTCGCTGGACGACCCCGGATACCCCTCCGGCCCCCTATGCTTGGATACCCCCTGTCCACGACCTCGCGTACTAACAAAAGGTTAAGACACCGTACGTCCGAAACGACGCTTAAACTAGATTACCCTTCGACGATCCAACTTAACGAAAGATCAAGAAGACGACGAAGACGAGGGAATCCCCAGAGAAACTCCTGCAAGCCTCATGGCCCTTACTTCCCCCTGATCGTCCGGAAAGACGCTTAAACTATCATGAGGCGAACCTTTCGGAAACTCCTGCAAGCCCGCTAGATCCTCTAGATCCGCCGACCGTATCAACAATAGATAACGGAACGCGCCCACCCATCATGGCAATGATTATCACCCTCTGATGCATAGATTAGAACCGAGGAGCGACACGCCCTCGCTGATTGAACTCTGATAGGAACAACGAAAGATAAGTCTGACTCAAGCGGAGCTTGGAACCACCTGGAGAAACATATAAGACACTCTCCCTACGGTTGTACATTCCTCAGAAACTCCTACCATCATGACGACTCCCATCGAAAACCCTACCACTGTGACGCTGAAGGACTCCGACTATGGACGGATCGTCAGCACAATTGAGAACTGCGCGTTTAGCGAAACCGCCATCCTCACCCCCGCGTACTCCCGAGAGATCGACAACATCCTCGGTGACATGAGTGCAACCACTGCCGCGAGCACTTCCCTCGCCGTACAGATAATAAAGACCACGAAGTTGCTAGAAGACGCCGCACTTCGTAAAGACCTAGACGAAGGTTCTCGTACACTCGCCGTACTCCACCTTCAGAAAAGAATTCGCGCTATGGCGCTTCACCTCCTACCGCTCGACTTCCCCGACCTCGTGAACCTCGCGGTTAGAACGGTTATGTCAAAGCCACACGCCGAAGAAGAAATTAGACCCGTGCGACCTCTGCCTAGAAAAAGAGCGGCCACGATGGATAGAACCCGCACGCTCTGCAAGCGTTGCGGTGGATACGGGCACACTTTTAGACAGTGTCCTGATTACGTCTGCTGCATCTGCAGCGAGATTGGACCGGATCATTTATCGATCCACTGCCCTGGACTCAAGGGACGCATCGTGCTCCAAGAGTTTTTAGATGAAGAGAAGTTTTTCGAAGCTCTCTTAGATTGGGAGCAGAACCATAAAGCACTCGCCGACCTCGCGCTCGCCTTCCCCATTCCACCTTCCCCTATGCCCGCGACGCCGATACCCATGACGCCTGTGCCAGCAACTCCCTCGACACCCGCACCATCCTCCCAGCCTTTGGACGTAGTGTTAATTGAAGCCGGTGACTTCAACCTTAGTAACGGGGTAATGTTACAGGGATCTGTAACACCTACTAGAGCCCCAGCTCTCCCTACACCTGCCCCCGCTCTGCTAGACTCCCCGCGCGGCGGTACGCCGCCTGCGCCTAGAAAGACAGCGGTCTGGACCGCTATGACACCGCCTCATGGCGTTATGGACCCCCGCCTGATGCTATGACCCCGCCCCTGGCCTAGACGCCTTGTACCTGTTCA